GTGAATAATTTGCAATGAAACTTTCTACTTTTGTTTACACTCGTTTGTTGGCATTTTGTAAACATGGTACTTCCCATTGTATTAAGCTAAGCGTAGACATAATTAAAATCAAGCATTGAAATCAGAATTGAGAAACATCTCAATGCAGCAACGAATACAAAAGGATGAAAACAGTCTTTTCCTTAATTGACTTAACTTGCTTTTTGAACTTTAAACACTTTTGGAAAAATATAAACTTTAACGATGTCGTAAATATATATTTTAATAAGATTCAAAATTCCTTAATGTCTTTTTATGATTTTGCCTCTAAAAGGAAAACTTAGATTGTCATTTACTGTTTGAAAAGCTTTGTTTAAAAATTCAATGCAACTGGTTTGATTTAGAAGCTTCAAATTAGAGCTTTGTATTTGAATCTCAGCATAGGCCTGTCTCTTTGTTATGATTCATGGGAGATGGGCATCGGTGCCAAAAAACAGTTTCACTCGTTTGTACAAAGTGTACAAAAATCGACCGCGGTATTCAAATAGAGGCTATACAAAGATGGGGTTGAGAGCAATCTACAATAGTTGAGAAAGAAACCTTAAAAGCATCCCTTTTGCAACGTAAAAAACTGCATATCTAGCAATGTGTAAAAATATATCCCTAACATAACTATTAGCTTCTCAAACAAATAAATGCACGATGATTAAATGCCATTCTCGAGCAAGACTTTTTTCTAAACAAAAAGCCTCGAGATTAACTTAGATCTTTCTCGCAACTTTATAATCACAACATTAAACAACATCCTTTGTTTCTTTGGAAGTTCCCATTTTGACCTTGTCCTTAAACCAATTCGTGACTCCCATCTGGGTTATTTTTGCAACATTCTTTAAACGTTAATTAACTTCATCTTTATGTTAACTCAGCTAATCCTTGTTAAAATGAACGACCACTTTCGATTTGCTCAAATCAGCCAATGTTATATACAACTTCTGCTAAAATAATTATATCATACAATTACAAGTAATTCAATGACATGCGGAGCTCTTTGAGGAAACTTTAATTTGCACATCAAACGTCAGTCAAGAAGGTCACGTGAGTACACGTGGATTAAAAGATATATCTTCAATATGAAACCCTTTCCACTAAAGAGATAACAAAATAGAGTATGTTTAAATTCATAATACAAGCCATTTTAAGCAAGAAGATCATGTTGATACTCATATTGGATGAAATTAAACATTTAATTATAAAGGATTAGGAAATGATTTTCCATTTTAGCTTCAGTTGAGTTTACGTCATTCGCTTTAAGTGGGTAGGATTTGCAAGGTTCCAGAAAATGACGGTGACTGCAAGGCAGGTCATTGATCACGCCCTGTATTAACAGAGTTTAGGAAAGTTTTGGCTCATTGACAGCAAGAATTCTGTACACTTTTAATGAACTTTGAGACTTGTAATGGGAGAATCGCAACAGGTAAAGCTAGGCAAGCAACGATTTCTTACAACTAAAAAATATGAAATATCTTCTGAGCGTTTCAAACGAAGATATGTCCAGTGAATATAAGTAGACTGTTGAGCCCGGTTATCACTAGGTGGGGTGAAAGATGAGAAATCTTTCGACCTGATATGCGTTGCATGGTTTCTGCAGGTGTGGCATTAGGACTGGATTTTATTTTTAGTAAAGCGGAGACGAGTGAGGTCCCCATCGCGAAGGCCCTGTTGAAGACGTTTAAGGTATATTATTTTGTTAGTGTCGTGTGAGCTACCATGAGGACCGTTACTAATCTCCATTTACATCAGAATTTGCGGGAAATGAATTGATAAAGACTGGAGACGGACGTCCAAACTGAGACTAGACGGGATTCACCTGTCGATTCCCAACAGACCATCAAAGTGAGTCACACAAAATGTTGACTATAGTAGCCTTATGGTGAATGTAAGCTCATACCGGCTGAGATGCCATTGAAGTCATCATGTCATTACTCGATATCTTTATCAAATAGACTTTTTAATGATTTAATACAGCCATTTAATATCAAATAGGAGATATGGGAAGGCGAGGTTTCGTGGAACAAATATTGTAAGCACTTCAATCCCGCCGCAAATCAACCAATAAGCGCTTACGTGATATTATTTTCCTGCAGCGTGTGTGGGAGAGCACTCAAAAGGCATTCGAGGGGAAAAGTGCCGACAAAATCAATGGATGACGAAGATTTTGATGCAACTAATCCAAATTTTCTGATCTCTCTGGCTTTAGAAAGAGGGGGCGGTTGTCGGCAATGCCTAAAATGATAAACCAGGTTGATATGCCACAAAAGAGCATTGATGATTTGAAAGAAGCTCTCTTTTCATGCATTAACTTGCTACCAATTCCTAGTAAGATGCATAAGTGTCTCTCGGCTTCTACTGACTCGTCATTAATAACAAGCAGAGCAGTGCCAAAAAATTGCCAAAAAAGAGCAGCCAGCACGGCCTGATACCAGGGCAAATTATAACAAAACATCACACCTCCAAGGACCATTAGGGACTACAGATACCTTCTGTAAGGCAAGGCTTGGAACCAGAGTCCAAAAAAGTTGTTAACCTTCCTCCAGACAAACACATCCCAGAAGGCAAACCTTCCTCACTAAACAATATAAATTGGGTGTGGCTTGGGTGTGTCATAGGAGCTTCTATTGTTTTTTGTGGACCTTCCTCCGGTCAGTGGCCGTACCACCGTAATGTGTTCCTGACTCTGCTTGGAACTAATGCTCGATCGAGTTTGTTTACGAAAAATTCCCAGTAACGGCCACTGAGATTCGGCACTTTCTCCACACATTTTCGGACTTTCTTTCTATTATGTTTATCGATACATATATTGATGCCTTATTTTTGCGTATTGATGGCGATATACTTATTTACAAAATAACAGAGATTTTGATACTAGAATCATTCTTGAAGCTCACAGACAATTGAAACGGGATTAATATTCTCATTTATGATTTAACCTTAGCAATAACGACTCTAGCTTTCAAAGAAGATTTACCTTGCATAACGTCAGACCTACCAAGTCACGCATTTTGCGTGAGACACACGCATTTCGGTCCTTTTTCGCGCTCACACGCATCAAAGCAGAATCCTCACGCATTTTGCAACAAACTTCTTGGTTTATTTAAATTTTTCAATTTTATTCCAAATCCTAGCAAAATTCCTCTTTCCTAACAAGGCATGTTAGCACGACAACAGCAACTAGATAATAAGATCACTAGATAACAGCGAATTTGCACAGGTTGGTAAAGTGACGATACATTTATTGGCAAGCCTACACAAATAGCAGGTTAGCTTTTTTTGCAACTATGGCACATTGTGGATTGATTCGAAATGTAAAAGAGGAGCATAATATCCCTTAAGTTAGAGTTTCTATTTAGCAGATTGCAATCGGAGCGGTCATAGTCGAGTAACTTTTTCTCGAGAATGATATTTGGGGTTGCAGTTACACTACGATGCTCCTCCGCTTGCTTGTTTGCCCGCATTTCTTCCTCTGCACTCCTGGTCCACAGTGCTGTGCACTTTTGCGATCATTTGCGCAGCGCAAGTGCACCAGATTAAATTATTTCATGATTATGTACTGTTATACATTCTTTCTCAATAAAGAACTGAAAATAATGGCGAAAAACAAAACCCCCTCAATCCCCCACCCGCTTCTGTGCAGTCCCTGCTGAAAAAGGCATTTCCGAAGAACTAGAAGGCATGGTGAAAGAAAATGTTCAGGGCTACACCCCAGGACTCTACTTTTGGTAGTGTGGCAGTCAGGATTTGTTCTGTACCAAACCTTTTCCCTCCCTTTTAAAAAAATCTCACTCATTTTCAAAACTGAAACTTGACAGGTCTGTAACGTCAGCAATTCAAGATAGGCCAAAAGGGCCTAAAGGCCATTCCAATACTATTTTGTACAAAATCATTTTTATATGATCTGTTTGCACCGGATAGCTTACTCGGTCAACTATCTAACAAGCCAATAATCCAATCTATACATATCGTAACATTTGAACCTTAATATAAATTATCAATGGATACATAAACTTTTATGGCTTCCGAAAGGCGCCATTTGTTTGACCACAAGTCACATGACATTATAGAGCAATTAGGTTTAAATTTTTGAATAGATTCTAAGCATAATGACGTCATTCAGGCCCAGTTCCTACGCACTTTGGATCTTGTACCTACAATCTTGATCTCATAGACTACTATGTCATGTATCTCAAGAGCTGTGGTCGGTGACTTAATGTTACTTCGTAACTCCTAGAAGTGTAGACGCGCAGGAACCTGCAAGAGTAACGACCTAGGAGGTTTTTGATGATAAATAAATCGAAAAGAAACAAAAATTTCAGGGAGACCTAAATTAACTAAAACTCCAATCTCTAAATCTGTTTACATCATTATATAGTCCCAGAGTTATATACTCCCAAATAAAGATTCTGCATTGGTTTTATTTATTTCCCAAAGATATGTCATTTGTTATCAACCTATTTCTTACTCTGAAAAAACTAGTTAGCGAGAGGAATTCCAGGTATATCCAAAACTCAAAGAATATTTGACGTCATAAAACAGTTTAACAAACCAACCTTGATTTAGAGTACCCAACCTGTTACTGTAAGTTTCTGTGCCCTCTGAAGAATTATATTTGGAAAAAAAGCTTGAAAATGATATCCGTCTATGGAAAGGAATCGACTTACAAGCGTTTTGGTGTGATAAAAGTTTTCTTTTACTTGAATAGGCCTTTCAGATGTCAAACCATGGTTAGTTTCAAATAGCAATGTTGTATACGCCAATGGCTCGCTTGATAAAGGGTTTTGGTTGATAATAGCTGTTCTGTTCCTCGTTTAAAGCTACTGTTAATTTGCTTCCTTGTAGTGAAGTAGCAGGATTCTGAAGTTATCAGTCTGATTGACAAGCCATTACTCTATATTGTAGTGCAAGATGAAACTCGTTACAAAGCCTTTACAATAAAATTGAATTGCTAGCAAAGAATACAACTACAATTATATTTATTACAATTGGATTTCAAGCATTGGACATTTAAATAAACTCCATAACATTTGGAAATAAACATGCATAATTAAACAATGGTGCGTATTAACATTAAAACTTCATTATATTTGGCGATGAAAAGTCAAAAATTGAACATTCGTTACTGTACAATACAGGGATAAATTATTGTTCACAACATTAGTCGATGTTATTATAACGATTCTCTCAATAAGGTAGCACGACTCTGACATTACATGTCATAGTTTAACTACCACATATGAAATGGCAAGAATTATTCCGCAGAGAGAAAGCAAACAGAAAGAAATCTCTTTCAATATTGCTCCTTTTGTAAAAGGAAGTCTAAAAACGTTTGATATTGTTGAATCTGAAGTTGCTGCTGTTTTAAAGAGGAGCGAAAAGATGGATTTAGCGAAGAATTGGTCAGCAAGGACTTTCAGCAGCTAAGACAACTTATTGTTTTAAAACATCAATGATACATAATTAAATTATTTTTCGGAAGAAATGCCTTGCTTTAAAAGAAAAAAGGATAGAATTTGTTTTAAGAGGACCACTCAGTTTTGTTTTGGGAGAAGCTCGAAGAACAGCTTGGGAAAATGTGAGAAATTTTTTGGAAACATTCGAAGCCATGTAGTTTTGATGATGGATTAAAGAAAGCTAATTAAATGTAATTGATTCTAAAGACTATTTACAATAACATTAGATGCTAACTTTGCCTAAGTCTGAACGAAAAAATATTGTGATACTTCATTCTAAAATTGAAAACGTTCAATACATTGAAAGATGGCAAATTCAGCACAATTCCTTAAACGAAATCACGACAGTGCCTACATACCTCTCTATTACTTTAAACGATGATATATCGTTACTAAAATTTCATATTTGCATGTTAAAAGTTCTACATAATGAATTTTTTTATCTGTTACGAATTAAAAGAAGTAGTCATTCACTTGTAAGTGAGATTTGTTGATAATGAATGAATAAACCTGTTCTGCAAGTGCAATAAGGGATGGTTAAATAAAATAAGGAATCTAGACCTTGAAAATTAATTTAAATTATTGTTATGTCTGTTAAATTATCAATAAAGGCAGTTATAAAGTTGAGAGTTTACAAGGAATGGGATACAGGCCGAAATTCTATCTCGATGTCAAAAAGGGAAGTTAATAAATAAAATTCTGTTGTCAGAGATGCTATAAGGGACCAGCGTCTTTTGCCACAGCTATGGGAAAACTATTGAGATATGGAATAGAGATGGGTCCAGATGGCGTAGAAATGAACAATTGCGCCGCCAGCAACGAAGAGATGCCAGATCGCATGAGCAAACGGAATCCTGCCATCACTTTTGAAGAATGCCACACCAGCAATGTACACCATGCCACCAACTGCAACTTCAGTCAACGCCTTTTCTGACTGGGAAATCATAACTATGCCACTTAAAGTATTGCCAAAGAAATATTGCTTTAAGTAGAAGAATGAGAACAGAAAAGAGGGGGAATACTCTTGTATCTGAATAACAGTGATGCATCAATTAGACGACGGTCTTGAAGACCTCTCCTTTCTTAAAAAGCATTTCAACCCCGACAGGAGATGTGATATTTGGCAAGGGACTGGGGATAAACGTTACTGGTCGGCAGAAGGCACAACTAATGCTATATCTAACGGACAAAGCGAATGACAAAGTAATGGCACCTTGACAGTGAAACTGACATAAGCCAAAAGTCAAAGTTTTGGGTACATTAAACGCCAAAAATTTCTTGCCAATACATTTCGGGCAAACTATTTTCGAAAAAAAATTTATTGGACGTTTCACTGTTATTAAATTCTCAATAGAATATTGCGCCTCAGCTCACTAAAATCTATACTTAACTTGATTCAACATAAACAAGGTATAAAGGGGTCCTACTTAAGAATTCCGATTCTCTCATTAAGAATGAGGATTACGCCCCCCATTTTAAATGCTTTTATCAAACATCCCAGTTTTGCATTTGAACTTAAGAAGCTGTCATCGAGTGGTGGTTGGAAATGTTCCACAGGAAATTTCGCACATAGTTTAGTATTTCATTAATCATGGCGGGAGGGTTACTGCTGAAGGGTATTCAGAACGTCATTTGCTGTCCTTACTAATCAGGGGGGCTGGAAATGATTTAAGCCGCAAAGTTCACCATAGGTAAAAGCAAAGGTATATATATTGTTCACCTAACAACATGACTTCAGGAAAATTACAAAATGGACGAAGGTATCGATGATAACAACGATGGAAGTATTACAGAGGAGGATAAAATTAATAATTTTTGAGGATTATGAGGCTGTTTTGTGAATGATTCAAAGTTTTTAATTTATTCCATCAAATACAAGTTTTATAGAATGCATTTAAAGGGCCATTCCAGCCCAAAACTTCTATTTCGGAACACGCTTTCCTTGGTGCTTGCTACCTCGCAATGGTAGCAATTAAAATTGACAAAAGATTCCTCGGTAAAATGAATTTAATTGAAAAGATATAATACTATTTCCTTTGTAGCTAGCTCTTATAAAACGTCACCTTTATATGCTCAATGTTTGCTTTCGAGCAAGACCTTTCGTTTTCAAATAAAAAAAATATGGTTGTGATTTTTCTATAATGCCAAAATTTTACAGACGGTAAAAACTTCGAACAGCAAAAAATTTTGGGGGCTTCAAATTTCGGACGCCCCATCTGTCAGAAAATATTTCGCCTTTAATGTACTTTGGCATTGAAAACACCAACCTTCATTTTGAAACGTTGATTGTCTTTATGGCGTTAGTTTTAGTGACTTACCAAATAAGCTAATGGAATTGCTGGTACTACACCAATCATAAGGTATGCAATGGTATCCATCGTCTTATATCTAGAATTGAAGGATAAATGAACCGGTTAAGGAATAAGGCATAGGCACTGACTTTTAATTTCTCCAGGGTAGGCATAAAATTCGAAATCAATATATCACTATAAAAAGAGTTCAAATTATTCAAAAATCGTTATTAACACATTCCGAGCCGAGCAATTCACAAGGAATAGTTTAAAACGTGCTTGTTATAGAAAAAATCTCGACTTCTCGAGGCATCTTGTCTGATATGTCCCTTCTTAGACGAGATAAGATATTTATACTTTTCTACCAAATTTCCCCTAAGAAGCTGGCACCTATGCCCAACAAGGTTGCGCAATAGAGTGTATGGGGCTGAAACTGCTTTCAAAAAAGGCAAAATCCGTATATTCTTCGTATGCTTTGCCCTGAATTTCAAAGGGTGCTTAGATCGTGAAGAAATTATTTTCCAGAGGTCTTTGGTAAAAAGGTTTTTAGGATTGGTATCGTAATAGTTTGGGGTTCAAATGTAACAAAACTTCATTTGTAAGCCCTGCCAATATAAGTGTTCATTCAATTATATTTTCCATTTTCGTAAATATTTTCTTAAAATTAAGACCAAGAGAGGCCTGCCAACTGGCCAATTTTTATTTTGATAAAATCCTGTTTGACTAACTTACTTTTCATGGAAAAAATATGAGAAAACCATTCCAGCGATTGCCCCAAAGCAAAGAACAAATGCAATGTCATCACCAAGTCCTCCATTGTCTTGCAGAAGTAACCTTTACAAAATGGGTTCAGGTGTCATTATTCTGCAAAGACTTTCCTTGATTACTCCCATATTTCAAAGTTATCTTGCATGGGGTATGCTTAACTAAGAGACGAATAGAACAAAGAAACACCAAAATATGGATTACTTTATAGAGCTTTAAACTCAGTTTTCTTTTAAAACCACCATGAATAGGCCCCTGGGCTACTTTGCAAAAAATATTTTGAGGTAGGGGCTTTTTGTTGAGGGGAGTTACTTGAAGATGGGGGCATATTTAGCAGCAGCCAAAAATAGTACCAGATCAAAAAATTCTGGTTGTACTTGAGTCTGGTTAGTATGCTTAAACATGTAGATTTATCGGGAAATATCTATTGCTGTGAGGCAGCATCTCAGCCTGTTTGTGCTTATTCATAGACTGGGGCTTATTTCACAAAACATTTTTTAGGGTTGGAGCTTTATCCAAAATGGGGGGCTTATTTGATAGTGACGACTTATTTGAGGACTTTAGGTACTATTAGCAACAAGGTATTGGCTAAATCAATTATAAGATAAAAAAGCTTTGGAAACTCACCAGGGCATATAGCAGGCAGCTATAAATATGTATATGATGATTCTATCAAATTTTTGAAATACATAATGTAGCTGGCTAAAATAAAAGGATAGCATTAAGAATTGGTAATTTAAATGAGGGACAAAAAACTTTTGAATCTCTGTTTGAGTACATATATTGATTTGGCACTACTAAGCATCAAAGTGGCATGCAATAAATCAGATGATCCATTCTGATAATCTTTCTACTGACTAATACTGTAAAAGTATGAATATTAACAATAAAACTTCATTACTATCTGTTTCTGTAAAAGGAAAGTCTGACATGGCCTAAAAGTTGTTTTCTAATACGAATTCGTCAAAAATGCAGTCTGTAGCCAACCACTACACATTTTTATGACATTTACATTTGCCATTTCAATTTATAAAGCAAATTCCAACTGCTAACTTTTTTGAAATTTTAACTGCTTAAAAAGTCAGAGAAAGGAGGCTAGGAAAGTTGGAAATAACATTCAAGAAAAGAATATTAACAAGAGATGATTCCATGAATGATTTTGTTAGCTAAATGCAAGCAAATACGTTTCAAGCTGCATTTACAGCAAGTTTAAAACAAGCTCATCTGTTAGGGAGGTAAATGGCTAGTTGTCCAATCAAAAAGTTTACTAGTGGAAGAAAATTGGCAGAAAATCATCATTACATTAAAAAGGTATAAAAATAAATTTTGAATAGTTTGGGCTTGGCAGAAAAATTTGGAATGATTTGTGTTTAAAAAGAAGTTTTTGAAATGCAAAGAGTTTGGTACTCACCATAAATCACTGTTGAGAGATACTAGATGAAAGGTTGTTGAAATTGAAAACAGGAAAATCAAAGAAGCACCATAAATCATTGCAACTGTTTCATGGAAAAAGGATTGAGAATTCTGGTGCATTTTATAAGCAGCTATGAATGAAGGGATGATCCAAACCTGAAAATATAAATAACAATTTACAAGAACATTATTTTTTTGCAATTAGGAACTCTGAAATCAAGCCTCTTACTGGAAATGATACAGGCTGGGGGGCAAGGAGGGGTGGTTGCCCCCAATATTTTAAAGGACAATAGTCTTTTGTTCTAAAACAACAGGAAAATGTGTTTAAGAAGAAATACATGTTTAAGAAAGATGAACAGTTAATAGGTCTATAACAGCAAGATCTGACATTGACTAAGAAAACCCCATTTTATTTCAATTATTTATTCCTGCATAACTGACATGACCAATACATGGATTCCACCTTGAACCATGAATATCATATATTTTCACAGTTATGCTAAAATCTGAAAAAAGAGGGAATACCTACCCCATGTGTAATACAATTGGCTACTTGTTCAGGATTAGTTGGCTTGTATGCTTCCCCCTTCTTTGCAGGTGGGTTCATATATCTGTAATTGGAAAGATACTTTGAAATGAATTGTTGATACAAGAAAATACAAAACTATTATACCATTGGGGTATTATATTGATAATATTGAGGGTAAACCCTGCAAAAATAAGTCTTACTTGCAAAATCTTCATTTTTGCTATTTTAAGAAGCGGATTATTTGTATTTCCATATTTTTGTACTTCTGGGTATATTTATTGTAAATTTCAACTTCTTTCAAGCCAATAAATTTTATGGTTCTGTATGATGTAATGTAAACTTTCATGAGCTGAAAAGATGATATAGTTCTATTTATTATTCTCGGAAAAATGTATAGCTGTTGGCGGCCTGTCGAAGATTTTTCGCAACGCTTTCACACATAAACAAGAATATAAACAAGCTCTCGGGCAGGAAGCAGACTTAGTGAGAGACTCTTGCACGTAAAGCATCATAAATGAATACTTACCTATAAAAGAACCTGATCATGGCTCCTGTATTAGACTGCAATTGCAAAAATCATTTGCTCCTAAGTAAAAGGTAAATCAAAGCATGACAAAAGGTTATCAAGTACACCGAGAAAAGTCAGCTGCCAGCAGCCACAATCCGTGTTCTTGTAATCTTTTGAGCATTATTGAATTGAATTGCGGATTTGCAGAGATTTATCTTTAGTTGGATTTCTTTATTGTTTCGAGTCTTTCTGAATAATTAAGTCCAATAGTTTTGTGTCGGTATGACTTTACTAAGTAATTACTTTAATTGTATCAAGTCTAGTCTGGGGCATAAGGTCTGTTTCACATTTTTCATGCTTAAAAGTCCATACAGCGTCGCTAGGATCTGGTTCTATGAGATACTTCAGTATAAGAAGTAGGAAAATTATAAAGCAACCGAACTTTGAAAAATTTAGTACTCCAAAACTTTTTGATCAATGCTATTGGCCGGTTAGCATACAATAAAGATACACTTCCGTTGGCTTGACAAGGTTCCTTTAGTTACAAAACAGCCATCAGTGGCGGATGCAGCCAAAAATCTGACTACCGCCGAAATGAGATAGAGGGTTGACCACACCCATTTCTTGGTCACACCCGGTTTTCTAAAATGATTATTGCTTTCTTTAATTTCTTATGTAGACCATTTCAAGAGACAAGCGGTGCTTTACTGAAATTTCATGTATCCTTACAACAAGCTTGGGAAGAAATAAATAATCTTATTCAATATTCTGAGGATGGACATTCTGAAAAAATTTACGGAATTTAGACGAGGAACACCATAGAATTATAAAAAAAGATACATTTGGCAGAATTTTGAAGTGTCGCTTAAAACTCGCATTTAGTCGGACAATTACTTATGAAAATCAGACCTGTTGGAAATTACAAGTTTAAAAAGCTGGATAAAATTTGCAATTATTGAGAGCAACTTTTGTTAAACAAAGAATCATATTTTTTGCGAATATTGTGGGCCTGACTTTTAATCCTGATGCCTTCTTAAATTTTAGAATATTTGAGTCTTAATATTCTTTTAAAATATATTCCTACTAATAGTTGTGTGTTGTACAAAATAATAGGTCACATCGGCTTTGAAGTTACAGTTTGCCCACTTGCAGAATATGTAGGCATTGTAAAACCACTTAAAAAGGGGGTTTTACAAACGTGAGTTCGTATGTCGTTCGCAGAAACGTACACGATAAATACTGCAAAAACTGTTATCCAATTCGCTAATTTCTTACACTTCTTCTAATTCATCAGTTCACGGCAAACGACTAAAGAAATCTTAAACGGCTAACGACGACAATGTAACGGCAAACACAATTCTTCAAGCTAGCGACAAGGTACACTGAGTTCGACAAAGCTTACGGCAAGACTCAACCTAACTATAAAGCCACCCCTTATATACCCTAAGAATAATACAATTTACAGAAGCTGATGCAATTGCAGCGCAATGATGCAATTGTCATGTGATGTCCTGCAATGAATGGGAACCCTGTGTTCTAACATAGCCCCCTCCTTTGAAAACAAGCCTCCTGGCTTGGTCTTCTTGTGGCGTTCCTTCTTCGCATTTATGCAACATGCCTTGAAACTCTTTCGTTTTTGGTAATGAGAATAATGGTGATGATGATCTGCACAGATGTGATGGGGCTAACAGTACATCGGCGATTGACGTCATTTCTTTGAATATCGTTGTCAGGGGCGTTTTGAAAATTTCTGCCTCGTCGAACGCTATTGTTTGGCCCAATTGCTCTTTCATCAAGTTAGCAAGCTCCTTTGTTATGTCTTCTAACATGCGGAACAACTTGCACAGAGCAACGAAGGGGTCAGTGGTGGGTTGGTATGTCGTTCTCGTCTGAATTTCTGCTTCAAAAACTGGGTTCATTTTTGCATCCACAGGCACAGGGGCTTTTTCTTGCAATGGCTGTTTCAACGGGCGTCTTCTGCAATATTTGACCACGTGCCCTACTCTTTTGCAGTAATTGCAAATCGGCTGGTCGTCTGTGGTTCGCAGGTATCGATGAGTGCTCATCTTCTTTTCCTTCGGCTCGGCTGTCCTCACACGGGGCACCAATGTAAAACCACTTAAAAAGGGGGTTTTACAAACGTGAGTTCGTATGTCGTTCGCAGAAACGTACACGATAAATACTGCAAAAACTGTTATCCAATTCGCTAATTTCTTACACTTCTTCTAATTCATCAGTTCACGGCAAACGACTAAAGAAATCTTAAACGGCTAACGACGACAATGTAACGGCAAACACAATTCTTCAAGCTAGCGACAAGGTACACTGAGTTCGACAAAGCTTACGGCAAGACTCAACCTAACTATAAAGCCACCCCTTATATACCCTAAGAATAATACAATTTACAGAAGCTGATGCAATTGCAGCGCAATGATGCAATTGTCATGTGATGTCCTGCAATGAATGGGAACCCTGTGTTCTAACAGCATCCCCCCATCTTTCTGTAACGTTTGAGCCGTGTTGAGCGGCAGTACTACTCAACCCCCCATCTGAGCGGTAGTCAACTCGGTTGTTCATTGGTTGTCAACAAAATTTGTATGCATCCCCCCAGGTTGGCAGTGATTTCTGACGGTGTGATTGGTTAAGGCAGGCTGACTACCGCTCAGTGCAGCTCGAATCCGCTCTACACCGACTCAATCCCCCTAGTTAGCAAGCCATGATTTCATGATCCCCCCATGCTAGCCTTATATTTGCAAACATGTGGCACGCAATTTCCATAGCGATAAGGATTAAAAAATATTTCTGTCTCTGTGGAAATTTCAGGCATGTTCCTAGGAAGAAAGGCTTGGTTTGCAGCGCGATCAAATATTTTCAATAATTAAATATGGTTTAATTAAAGAAGTAGGATAAACATGAAAATGATCCTTGTTTCTATAATTTTTTGAATAATCTGACTACCGCTCGAGCGGTAATGGCGGTAGTCTGGATCCGCCACTGGCCATTACTTTAGTTAAGTACAGTTATTGCCAAAAGTACTTGGAGCACCAAGCAATTTGCGTTGTGTTTTTATATATTTCAATTCTTTTCCCGGATACTCCTATTTCCACACCCCCTTCCCCCGAAAAGGCGATAATTTAGAAAAATATCATAAAATAATTGCAAAAGAAAGTGCTCCCTAAAATCCTAACCCGTTTCATAGTAAACCAACATTGTTCCGAGGGAGAGAGAGGGATAGTTGATTTTGATTTTGATAATAACGTCAGTGTTCAAAGACTTTTGGCAGGGATTGCAGCTAATCTTAAATCGTTGCAATATTCTAATCAGTATTGTTTTTGCTCCGTTTCTAAGAAAACCTCAAATATACAACTTCAGAAGTCACACTTCCTCTGTGATAGTTTCTAATATGAAGTAAATACTTTTTCTCCCATTAAAATTACTCATAGAGTCCCAAAATCTTAATGCAACGAGAACTCTCAAGAAACAGTGAGTAATGTAGATATACCACAATTGGAAGAGACTGGAGTCTTCAATTTCAACTCATGCTCTATGACAAAATATTTCTACAACAAAGAATCAAAACCTTTTGATTGAATGGAAATAGCTATTCCATCTTTCTCTCTGTATTTTGTCTTATATTTTGTCTGGATTTTCTTGTCTTAAATTTTATCAATTTATTTTGTCTTTGTATTTTTTTGTTTTTGGAAAAAAGCTCTTCAAGTAAAAGTGCTTAGTTTTTCCAATGTTTCTTGCTTGGAAAGAAGAAGGAGAATAAGGATCACATTGTGTAATTTCATTACAGTTGAGGTGGTGTTGTCAGTCTTAAAAATTATGTCACTTTCAATTAAAATATACTTGCAAAGGCATGCATGTAAAATCAATAACTCGTACGGTTTTTCCTAATTCGAGATAAGAACTTTTCTGTTATATGGAAGTTTCCAGATGGAAGTTTCAAAACTCAAGCAAATGCTGCTTTTCATACGAATCGATGTTTTTTTTTGGCATGAAGAAAGCACAATAATCGAGGAGGTGTGATTTTGGGACTGAATACCAAAACCATTAAATTTGTTTGATTTTGTTTTCAAAATTGTCTGATTAACGAATTCTTGACGTTGGCTGTAGTTATTTCTTGCCTAAGCGAAAATGTTCTAATTTCAAAAAAGGATTTGAAAGTGGAAACATCAAGGAAAATTAACACACCAAAGCACTTTTTGTCCGATACTGCTCAGAAATTAAACGTTTGGAAATAAACTCTAAGGAAATAATGACGTGATTAATTGATCATTTTCTTGCTTCTGACCAATCAGCAATTGCGTACTTGAAATTGAAGGGAAACACTGATTATACTCTACTGCTGAAGGCAGGGGCAAATCCAGAGCAAAATTGAAGCAGCGGCATTTAGTAGTGGGGGGAGGGGGGGGGCTGAATAATTTTCAGAAATTGGTGACGAGTGTACAACAATTTTCGACCTAACTACTGATAACTCTATTCACTTTCTAAGGAAATTTTCAAAATAACTGTTGTGTACTTTCAGGCAATCCTTGAAGTAAATCAACCTATAAGTTTGTCATCTAATTCTCATTCTTCAAAAGGAGCGCACAATTTCCAAAAAAGGGGCGCCAGTCTTGCTTCAACTCGGCGAGGGAGGGGCAACTGCCCCTAGTTGCTCCCCCTTAAACCTGCCACTGGTTGGAGAGTTGTTTCTTCTTCAAAACATTCGCTTTCCAGAAGATGTGACGGTGTTCATTAATAGGCGTTGACTGTGAAACTCACAATAGGACGTTTAAAAGAGTAGTATTTGTTTCGAATTAAACTTAGAGTGATAACCGTCATTTACAGTTTTTTGTGTAAACGGTTAAGCAGCTAAAGAGTTTTGGCTTTTAAAAAGAAGAAAGCTTTTTTGCTTAAGGTCCATTCTTGTTTCTTTGACATTCTTTAACATCAGGTTTTAGCTCTTGTCTCTTGTATTTTTAAGATTAAAGTGTTTATTCTACTTCTATTTGCTAAACTTTGCTAAACTATTAAATTCTGATATTCAAAAGTTATAAAACACTAAGGAGCCCTTGATATAAGCTACATGCTTTAAAAAGAGCATATTGATGAATAGCAACGTCTTTTTTTAATCCAGTGCTTTGAAACTACGAATTAGTAAATAGCAATAACATATAAAACATATGGATGAATAA